GGGCTCGCGCCCCCCCGTGCCCGCCGCCAGGTCCCCGAGGCTCGCTGCGCCTCTGCTGCGCGGGCGCGTCTGCGAGTGTCGGTCTGTGCGTGCTGCCACCCAGGAAGCTTTTTCCCCTGATCTTCCCGGGGCAGCAGACGCAATCTTTTATTTAGAAGCCTCCCTGGTAACGTTTGCGTTGCTTTTTCTGGCTTGGCTAGGCCTGTACGAAAACTTCCCAGGAGCTCCCCACTCCTCCCGACGCGGTGACGTGCCTTATCTCAGAAACACGTGAACTTGCTCAGTTGTATTTTCTAGGTTTGTGATGAACCAGAGGAGTTAAAGAGAAAAGCTACTGAGCTGGCTGCTGCCGTCCGGAATGCCAAGCACCTTGTCATCTACACAGGAGCCGGGATCAGTACGGTAGGAGTCTTTGGGGGTGAGTGGCTGGAGCTTTGGGAGCTCTTTCAGGACTGTTGCAGTATTGTTTGGACTTCTTTGTGGTTTCCAAATGACTGTGTGATGTGTTACGAGCCTGGGATGCGATGTTAACGCTGCCACGCTGCAAACTGTCACCAGGACGTTTGCTAGTTCACATCTTGGGGTTCTCCCGAGAGATTCTGCGTCACCTCTGTGACCGTGTGAAGAAAGCGGTGCTTAAATGAGAAGATCGCTAGTCTTGCTAATGTCACACAAATTTTTGCTCAGGAGTGCTGAGTGCAAGGTACCAGGAATCAGTGTCCAGTGAAAATAAGGAAAGGTTCAAGAATCAAGTTCTGTGTAGGGAAGTGGAAGTATCAAGGGTCAAAAAGAGTTCCAGAGGGATTCCATAATGGTAAAATTGGAGAAAATAAATACTGGAGGTGAACATGAGAGCTGTAAGATAGGAGATGGTGAGGAGAGAGAAAACATGGAAAAAAAGGTTTTCTGGCGATTAGGGAACCACTGCGCCAGAAAACTGGGAGTGAATGAGAAGGCACTTCTGGATGAGGGGGGTCTGGTCGTCCTGGGTGAGACCGGGCTGATGTGCTTGTGGGCAGGAGCTGTGAACCCCCCGTCAGGCCTCGTTTTTTCTCTCCCGGTGACACAGGCAGCCTCGATCCCGGACTACAGAGGCCCTAATGGCATATGGACGTTGCTGCAGAAGGGCAGGAGCATCAGGTAAGGAGACAATTTCTAAGCAGAAAGATGATATTGAAAGAGAGGTTAATGGCAATTCCAACTTCTTTTTTCTCCTTGTGTCTTCTCAGGGCTACAGATCTGAGTGAGGCAGAGCCCACACTCACCCATATGAGCATTGCCTGCCTACACAAGCACAACCTGGTAAGATTTTCTTTTCACACCTCACTCTAAGTGATAAATAAAACCCAACAGGGGAAATAAGCTTTTCATGAGGTTGCCTAACTACTGGTTCTGTTCAGGTGTCTAGATACCTATGTAGGAAAAAGCACCTGCTGAGGCTTTGTTAGGCTCGCTGCAGCTCTGGCAGTTCTTCCTGTGGTGCCTTGTGTTTGCCTCCTGGTGAGGCTGGTCTGGGGACCTGGCCACGAAGTCAGACAGACCTAGTAGAGCTCTGCTTAGCAGGATGAGCCCTTCTCAATCAGCTTTCGTGTGTTCCCCACACTTTTCTTCTGTTGGTCCTGCTCTGAAGTGTGGGGTTATTTGGCGTGTGTTGAGACACAGAGTTGTCTGCGTGTGTGTCAGCTCAGTGTTTTACTCTCTTCAAGGTGCAGCACGTGGTGTCTCAAAACTGTGATGGGCTGCACCTACGGAGTGGGCTACCCCAGGCAGCAATATCTGAGCTTCATGGAAACATGTACATAGAGGTGAGTGGCCAGAACAGGACAAAGCAGTTGTCCAGTGGCCTCACAGGAAGATAAACTATTTGTGTACCACTAGCTCACAAAGAATTAGTACAGGGGGTAGCCTCTGCTTAGTTTGTATCTTCGGGCTGTCAGGTTTGGGGTGAACTAGTTAGCAAGCACCAAAACCAAGTATTCTGTACAACTGTGTGCTTGCTAGTCTTGCGAGTAATCTTCCTCAGACCTTCTCTGAAATCCCTCCTATCGCGCAGCCAACAGGCTCCCTGTAATTTCACTTGCTAGTTGAGGTTTTCCAGACTTTTCCCAGTTAGCATCTGATCCCGATGATCCCTTCTACTTCCTCCAATTTATCGTTCCCCAAAAGTGCTTTTCTTCTGATGGAAGGGGCTGGCTCCTGGCCTTCCATGGGCTAGATGCTAATGATGTAACAGGTTTCTTGCTTTCGTCCCGCACCAGGTCTGCACTTCCTGTACACCCAACAGAGAGTACGTGCGAGTATTTGATGTGACAGAGCGCACAGCCCTGCATAGGCATCACACTGGCAGGATGTGCCACAAGTGTGGGGCACAGTTGAGAGATACAATCGTCCACTTTGGGGAGAAGGGGACGTTGAGACAGCCCCTGAACTGGGAAGCAGCAACAGAAGCTGCAAGCAAAGCAGATGTGATTCTTTGTCTGGGTTCCAGCTTAAAGGTAACTTTAGAGACTCGGTGAAGATTGTTAGCAGCATTCCCTCTTGGTGATACACCTTGGTGCTGAGCAGTCTCCTCCCAAACAGACAACTGTAAACTCTGGTGTCAGGATTCGCCCACCATCTGTGATAGTCTCTCTTCCTCCCTCTTTCCCCTCCTGGTAATACATTCCTTTTCCTCTCGCTGATACGGTTCACGGTTACACGTGCCTTTGGCTGTGCTGATAACCTCTCTTTTGTGGCAGGTTTTGAAAAAATACCCACGTCTTTGGTGCATGAGCAAGCCCCCCACTCGTCGTCCAAAGCTCTATATCGTAAATCTGCAGGTGAGAGACTTTTGCACCAGGTTCGGAGGGTTTGGGCCAAGCGGGCGCTGGCGCGGGTGAGCCTGTGGGCCCGGCGGCAGGCAGGGATCCCCCCGGCAGCAGCGGGTCTGGTGTCACTCCTGCAGTGGACCCCCAAGGACGACCTGGCCGCCCTGAAGCTGCACGGCCGCTGCGACGACGTCATGCGGCTGCTGATGGCGGAGCTGGGCCTGGAGATCCCGCGCTACGACCGGTGAGCAGCGGCCCGGGGGCGGCCCGGCCCCCGCCCCCCGCCTGCCCCGGCAGCGCGCCCACGCCCGCCCTTCTTCCCTCCGCAGGGCGCGGGACCCCATCTTCGCGCTGGCCGA